CCGGAAGATGACATCATCATAATTAGCAGTTAATTAATAATTATTTAGTAGTTATTACATGGTTAATTCATCATTATAGCTAATTTTAATGACAAAAACTACATTATTTTGCTCAACAAAGTGATAATTAGTAGAGAATAAGCTGCTAACTGCATGGTTTATTCACAGGAAGCCAGTCAACCACTTCATAGGTCCATATCTATGGTCACTTCAGGAAGACAGTAACCTACAGTAACCTGCAGCTAGAATAACTGACTCTTTCATATAGCAGCTTCATTATTAATCATCATAGTCAGCTAGGACTCATTGAACAGCTAAATCACCTAGCTACTGATACTCTATATTAAAAGAGGTCTTTTAGGTACTGAATTTTCTCCTCTTGAACACAAGAATGGCAGGGTAACTCTTCAATGAGAAGTTCAGAGCCTTTTTTAACCAGATTTTGTCACTAAGTGCTAAAATAGAAGTCTTCACAGACTTAAAAACTCATAAGTAAGATATGTGGGTGTGGTCATGGCCACACCTACTTTTGACCACTCCCACTTTCAGCCACACCTTTGCCCTACTTGCAGTGAAATCCTGCAGCCGCCTATGCATCTCAGAAGAAGCTGATGTTATTGAGTAATGAAACCTTAGAAGGAATTAGAATGACAAGTAAGGAATAGGCATCTAAATGTATGCTGCTTACTGTTACATACATGTAGCTCACTCATTTGTTGAACTGGTGAAGCTTCTTTTTACTGTCCCCGGAGTTACACTTTTTCTGAGTCGCCGTATCTGCCAGGATCCTCTGGAGAAGTTTTTTGGAAACCAGAGGCAGATTGGACGCACACATGATCATACAACATCTAACGAATTTCAAAAAAACACACAAGTTCTTAGAGTGGTTAATTCATTCTGTAGACCAACAGTACGAGGTAACTGTAGAGGAAATGAGGAATTACAGGTAGGGTGGCAATTATATCCCAATAATTGCTCACAATATTTGCCTATTTCTACTTGCAGGTTGATATTGAGACTGATGATTATTCGTTGCCAAAAAAATCTAAATCAAAGTCCACGGAAGTAGAAGACACAGATACAATAGGTACTGCAATTTTTAACTTTGCCATTTTATTCAATCCCTTATAGGGACAAATGAGTCCTGCTGTGAGTGCTGTCCATACGAAATTGTATTGTCTGCTGTCAGAAAAATTCTTTCGGATAGCAGCTTTGAAGTGACAAAATCTTCTAAGGAAATAAAAGAAATAGCTAGAAAATTTTCATTATGGGCACCTAATAATTCTTACTTCCATCTTTTCTCCAAAGTTATAGTCTCCTCATTAAATTTTTGCTTCGAAGCAAAAAAATCATACACGGAGGAAATAGATTTCATGTGGAGAAAATATCACTCCATCCGATCATCTAAAGAATTCCAGCAAGCATGGACAGAGGTGGTGACCTATGCTATCGATGAATCAAGTGCAAAGCCGTCTTTTTTCCAACATGTCACGGAAAATATTTTTTCTAGTTTAATTTCCCTTCATTACAAGAAAGAAGTTACCACTGCAACGCAACCATCATATATCAAATTAACAAACATTGAAGAAAACATCATCCGATACGTTGCAGGATACATATGCCACAAAATGAAACTGAAGCTGGAAAATTCAAAGAATTTGGACCTCTTACTAATTGTAGCAGAGATGATTGGGTATGATGATGAGAATGACAAGAGTTTTTCCAGCAGTGAATGCTGGACAAACATAGTAGACCGAGGAGGTCTTGTCCATGTCAATGATACGACTTATCTTATGTTTTGCGCCTTTGAGAAAGAATTACAGCAGTATCTCAAAATTGACAGAGCTGTAATGGGACAAAACGATGCAAATCTCTTAGTTGATTCACTAACCTCCAACGTTGATGCTCAGTTTCTGTGGAACTCAATCCTGGAAATACACCCTCACATTGATTCGTCATCTTCAAACCAGCTTTTGAGAGACATGGTCAGCCTCTTTGTCAATGTTCGTGGATTTGCTTTTGCCAAATCGTTGCTTGAAGCTTATAAAGAAGTCTCTGCCAAACCGTTGCAAAAGTCAAAAGGACTAAGAAAAGCATTAAATGTTACCCTATAAACACAGCTCTCCATTGTGTGTAAAATAATTTATTGTAAAATATCACTGTAATAATTATACTTTAGCTTGACGCCACGGTTATTACAATGATTACCGTAGTCACTAGTCAGTAGACTGTTTCTTCGGCCGGATGTCTCGTCCATCTCATTTTGATTTTTAGTACATATTCCGTGACAGTTCAATTAACTAATCAGTGTAATTGTAGTTAAAGAAATAGATCTTTAAGCGCATGAGAAGAAAGCGAGGAAGAGAATCCATAAAGCGAGCTCCACTCTAGCATGGATCTATGACTCTAGTTTGCTGAAATGGCATACTTCTATTTAACGCCTATTCCAATCACGGACGTTGTCCACCCGGGAATCCTAGTTTCCAATCCCGGTTACGTAGTCTATAATATCTATGATTGTACACGATTGTGTAAACCACACCTATTGGGTGTGGTAAGGCGTGGTTATCATATCATTTTGAATCGATATTTCTTTTAAAATGGGATTATCGATCGTTATCGAATATTAGTAAAATTTCCAATATCGCCCATCACTAGACTCGATCAGTGATAATGATCAGGTGTTAAATTTTACACTATAAAATCATCACACTCGTGCAAATGCAAAATAGTTTTTTAAATCTTCATCACTCCAAGTATCATTATTAATTACTGATTGTTTTGATAAGTTTGATACTGTATTAACCTATGAAATATAAGAAAATTAATAAAATAATAGCAAAATCTGCACATAATTTAACACCCACGCATCTTGTTAGCACCTTGAGCTAACACCGACGCACCAAAATAATGAAAACTTCATTATTCACAGAAGTCCACATCAGTACAGTATTACCAGTATAATACTTCAATATGATTAGCATAACATCGCTATTAGAGCTGATATTGTCTGATACTTATCCAATATTATCTTAGATACTAGAGCCGTTTCCGGCTCTAATATGCTATAGTGACCTTTCAATTAATACTAACAGTTTTACCAGTAAATAGTTATATATACTAACATCAGAATGAGAGGGAGCTATAGAAGGTGAGGAAGGAGAGAGCAGGGGGAGCGAGAGAGTTAATTACTCACTACTCATTTTTTATTTCACTAATAAAAATTAAAAATAGATGGATCACTAAAAACCTCAACATGCATGTACATGTATACCTGAAAAGAAATTAAAACCACAAAAACTATTGAAAAATACAAACAGTATTATTAATCAAGCTGAAACTAAATCTCTAAGGGTTTGTATAATTGCGGTATGATATTTCCAAGTCCATTTTATGAGCAATTTCTTTAAATGCTTCAGTATTTTTCAATACTTCAATTAAAATTATCATTGCCTGAGGTTTTCCATCAATGGTAGCCTTAAGAGCAAACAGTAATGAAGCACATCTATCATGTACTGGTCTACCATCATTCATACACTCAGTGGCAGTAGTATCAGAAATTAGCTTTTTTGCATATAAGCTCATGATGATTGCTGAAAGATTATTTGGAGCTGCCAGGATGTCAGAAAGTGTATCAAAGTTTTCTCGTAGAACTTCTCCAGCTGATTTCCTCTCCTCATCATCTATAATTATAGTAACAGAATTAAATCAAGCAAGAGAATATACCAGAAAACTTTACCTAGAGAAATTGACCCTGTGTTTGAAGCAATAGTGCCTGCAGATGCCAGCTGCATGTCACCTATATAGTCTTTAGAGACTAACTTATGTAATAATAACACTAACCCATTGTTAACACAATGTTCATTTTCTCAAAATTAGATTTTTTTATTCCTTGCAATGTGACAGGATAACTTAATTCCTTAACTGCACCTTCACCAGGTGTGGCTGAGATTGTAATGAGGCATTCTGGAAAACGAGGAGGAGACATGCTGCCATATTCATCAATAACAATCTGCCTAACCTACAGTAATTATAATATATAATACATTAGTATGAAGTGCTTATACTCTAGTAGGATCCTGATGAGGTCTAACTGACCATCCTCTGGGACATTGCCCATCAAAGCATAACTTAATGAATCCATCATCATCTTTAAATTGGAAGGATACTTCAATACTTTTTTCAACATTTCTGAATGCTTTTTTAATATACTGTATGAATTAAAAAATATTAACAATAACAGAAACATGTAATTCATACCTCTATTAGTGCATTAAGATATTTAGAGACAAAAAATTTCATCAACCACTCTCTTCCTTGCCTCTTGATCTCATATATCACTTGACTATGGTAACACTTAATAGGTGGTTTATCTAAAATAAAATAAAAATAAAATAAATATACATGCTTATACCTGCTAGTGTTAGTAGTGTAGCTACTTCATTTTTTGTTGAAAGTGTGTTGAGCGGATCAAAAGAGAGTGAAGAACTTGAAGAATGCAAAGATGATGACGAAACAGGGGAAGAAGTTGAACATGGTCCATCAAAAGATGATGATAAAGATGAAGAAAGAGTATGTGATCTTGCACGTGATGATGAAGTGCCTGGGATTGAATATGGCTGATAACGTCTTCCTGAATATGTTTTAATACAATACTTAGAGAATGTAGCAATGCTAATGCCACCATATCTGTTACCAATAGAAAATTCCCCACCATCTACTGTATCAAACTGGTAGGGTGGCTGATTATTAATTGAAGTAGAAAAACTAAGATAATTACAGTGAGAAGATGTTTCTATGGAGACACAGTGCTGTATCTCCAGTTTCACGGGCTCAATGAAAGGCTTAGAGAGGCTTATAGCATATACTGCACTAACAAGCTCAGTGTCTTCTGGAAATATAAAATCTCCTCCTACAAGAGCAGTGATGGTGACCTGTACAGTATTAGAAGGTAGCACTGCTCCTTGTGGTATTGTTATCCTTATACCATATTCCTCCCAATTAATTGACTGGGTAGATTCACCGTGAATAACAAATGAATTCTTTGCAGCAACATGTACACCTTTTAAGTTCGTCTATATGAAGTATAATGTAATGATTTTATAATCATATTTAAGTAATACCTTCAGTTACACTTTCAACAACTGTTTCATCAAGTATTTTGCCAAAATCATTGTTACAACCTAACAATTCTGTATCAACATACAAGCATCTCTAAACTATTATACCTTGAGTTGATTCATGCATTTCATTTCCTTTGCTATTGTCTTCCTTTGGAGCAGATTTTACATCTTGAAGCTCTTTATCTTCTGGTGATAGCAATGATATTAAATATACCGGTACATCATGTATACATTATATACCTTCTGAAGAATGAAGCAACTTGATTTCCTGAACTTTCTCTTGACCTGCTCTTGTCTCTTCCTCTTGAATGCTTACAACTTTCAGATGCTCATATTGTTGTATTTGCTGCAGATGTTCCTTTAATTTTTGATCACTTTCAATTAGTTCCTGGTCTTTGTTTTGCAACAGCTGATTAAGCCTTTGGATCTCCTTTTCTAGCTCCTTTTTCTTTTTTATCTCAAAATTGTAATATTCCTTTCTCTGTGCCTCCTCTCTCTCCTTTTCTTGTAGTTGATAATGACACATTTGTATCTTTTCCTCCTTTTCTGCCAGCTTCTTGTCTTTCTCCTGCAACTGTTTAAAATATTTATCTTTTAGTCTTCGTTCCTCCATTAACTGATGCTCTTTCTCTGCCTCCTTTTTTTCTTTCTCTCGTAACTCTTGACAATATCTTTGTATTTCTTTCTCATTTACTGCTTCCTTTTCTTGATGGCTTTTTTCTTTCTCTGCTTCCTCTTTCAATTTTTCACAATATTTTTGTATTTCTTGATCCATTGCTTGTAACTGCTGACAATATATTTGTATTGCTTCATCTTGCTGTGTCTCCTTTCTTTCTTTCTCTCGTTCCTTCTCTTTTAGCTGATGACGGTAATGCTGTATTTCTTTTGCCTTTTCTTGTATAAGTTGCTTGTAATCTTGTAATAACTTGGTGTATCTTTGCATTTCTTCAAGTAAATTTTTGTTCTCTTGCTCTGCCTTCTCTTTCTCCTTCTCTTGCAGCTGATGATAATATTTTCTTATTTCTTGCTCTTTCTTTGCTTTCTCTTTTTCCTTTTGCTCCAATTGTTGATGATAAACTTGCGCTTCCCTCTCCTTTTCTTGCAATTTTCTCTCCTTCTCTTCAAGACTCTTCAAAAGAACTTCTACAGTTTGCTCAGTATCGGCTGTACTTCCTTTTCTTGATTTCTGGTACTCCTCTAACCATATTCTTCTTCCTAACTGACGTAGTTGCTGCTGATACTTTTTGTAGTATTCATCTGTTATTTCATCTAATGTAGTGGTTACTAGCCATTCTCCTTTACCATTAGTAACTACAAAAATAGAATTGGCATACATAGTACACATAATGAGTATGCAATGGTATATATTGACTACCGAGTACTGACCTAGTTCTGTTAAAGTAAAAATGTTATCATTTTTAGTGGCTAATGTGTAATATATGCCGCGGATATCAAATCCTCCAACAGTTATTATCCAGACACAATGAGGACTCATAATGAATGCTGAGAGAGAATGACCATATCTCTGACTAACAAAGCGAGGTATATCTAACTGTTAAAAAAATTAACTAATAATTTACATGTATCTCACTGTACAAACTTTGATCCAGGAATGTTGAATGATGTTAAAGATCCAACAATCATCCAATAGCTCATTCTTCATATATGTATTTTTTCCACCACTTATCACTAGCATAGGGCAGTCTGATCCAGTTATAATAATAGCACCTGCATGATAGCATCTACCCACTGGCCATTGGTCTATTGCTTCAGGTTTCTTTATACACTGCCAGGTCTAATAAATAAAAATAATCACACCCATTAACAATGACATGTGTGTGTGTGTGTTTTGACCTAATCCCCGGGCTATGTCTCAGGACCTAGCTACCATAACCATAGCCTAGTGCTGGGCTTGCACCTCGATTGAAAGTACTGGCATCTTCAAAGCTTAACACATCCATTGACTTAAGAGTTGCAATTAACACAATATGGGGTTTCCCTTCTATTTGAAAATGCTTACTGGGCAAGGGACAGACAGTCTGGCCTTGAGAACCAGAAATAGCGGTTTAAAGAATCTTTTATGGAGCTCCAACTCTCCCGGCCTGCACTGTCTGAGCCTCACTCAGCTATTGGTTTAACTGATAAGGTGCTTATGTAACTGAACTCTATGTTAACTACTTCTCTATGCACACAGTTATAGTTTATGTTACATATAAAGGACACTGTAAGCTACATGTACTTTGTTTATACAGTTAATTTTTGATTGTAAGTTGTTTTAAAATACATGACTTACAAGAAATCCTATCTTTCTTTGCTGCCACCACCAAGGCCACCTCACACTTATAAATGCTGCCATCAAGGCTGCCATGCTTTTTAATTGGTACTTAAATATTCATGTATAATAATGGTGGGTATTAAATTAATTAAGTTTTATGTGTGTGTGTGCATGCATTCAGTACACATAATTTAACATACATACCACAGTGCTGATTGATATCTCTAATATATAAATATTATTAGTGAAATTATCCTCAGATTCATCATCATCAGTCTCTTTTCCACCAAACAGAACAGCTCTAGTGTTGTTGATCTTTTCAATGATAAAGCCACTAGCAGGTGGTATACACTGACCAATGATTGAAGGATTACTCCATTCTCCTAAATTAAAATCATTAACATAATTTCAAACAATAATATAAAATCTTACTTGATGATATATTATACATTGAGTGCTCATTAGTACGCCATTTTCCAGGTAAATAAATATATTTATAATGAGGTAGTTGTACAGCTGGTTGAGACCCATGTCCTCCTATCATTAGTAAATGGTGTACTCCATCATGTTCAAATGATATCATTCCACCAAAACTTCTCCTCATAACTGGTCTAGTTGCATCAGTTGGTTCTAATTCTCTCCATTGAAGACTAACAGTATCCAGTTGTGTAATACTGTTGTGAGAGCAGCTGTCATGGCCACAATAGCCCCCAAAATAATACAATAGATCTTTTATTGCAGTACAGCAGTATCCATTCACTCCTAATGGAGGAGTACCAGTAGTACCTCTAGTGATCCATTGACCAGTTGAAGGAGTAAAGTGCTGTATATTACTAGTGAACTTTCTCTTCTCTTCACTATCATGTACTTTAGCGTGGAAATCACCCTGAGCACCACCCCACACATACAGTGAATCACCTACTGATACAGTGCGGTGAAAACCTCTTTTATTCGGTTGATCTATATTATAGTGCCATGATTAAAAGGAACAATACATTTGTACTTACTTTTAAAAGCCATAGCGTCAGAACAACTGAGCTGTGAGAACGTCTGCCGTCTGGAACGAATTAATCAACGAAGTTGAACGAACCGAGTAATGCGGAACGTACACAGACGTATGCG